AAATCCTGTATCAAACAAGAACAGAAAACATTTCACTTTCTAAACTACTCCTCAGTTCCCAAACACTTACAGAGTGTTGTTAAAGAAGAGGTGATGAAACACAGTGGTAAACAGGCCCCCGTCCCAACTGTTTTGAAACATGTTACTAGCATCAAATTCAAAATGGGCAAATATTTTTTCAAAAAACAATAAAATTTCTCAATTTCAATATTTGATATGTTGTCTTTGTAGTATTTTCTTTTAAAATATGGTTTACATGATTTGCACATCATTGCATTCTATTTTTATTTATATTCTGCACAGCGTCCCAACCTTTTCGGAAATGCAGTTGTAGTATGTCAGTGTAGAACTGATTTCTTGAGCTGTCACATGAAGAAGACCCAGGTTCTGCTGGGTCTTCTTTGTAGCTGCAGTGCTGTGTCTGTCCCATCTGAGGTCCTTCTGAGTGGTGGTGCCCAGGAATTTGTTCTGCTGACTGCAGAGGTGTGCATTTTCAGGAGAGGCAGTGGGTGGGTTTCTTTCTGAGGTCTGCCATAGCGCAGGAACTCTCGAGGCACAGACTTATGCTGAAAAGATGCTGGAGTTCTCTGCATAGCTGGGCACACACACCTTTAGCCCTGGGACTAACTGTTATCTGGTCCAGCAGCCTTGCCTGGTTCCTTCTCTCCAATGGGGGAGAATGGAGGTCACTAAGGGACAGTCCTGGGGCCTGAGTGAGTGGGCAGCTCAGATATAGTGTGGGGGCTGCTAGAGGTGGAGGTGCATGAGTCAAACCATTGGGAAACTAGTTCAGCTCGTTTGCCTGCTCTATATTGCCCATGGCTCGCCTTTCTCCTTTCTGCCTTAAAGCTAGATAATATCATCCCACCCCTGACATTCCTGGCATTATTCTTCTGCAATTTCTCCTCCAGCTGCTTTCTGGTGGAGTCCTCGCTCTCCTTTCGTCTCTGCTTTAGGTCCTTTTGTCCCCTGTCCTTCTTCTTCACATTAAGTAGGGCTTTCAGGTCAGTCGTAAGGTTTGTTGTTTGGGTAGCAGCGAACTTTTGTGGGATTGAAGTTGTCAGTGCAGAAGCCAAGCGCAGACTGTTATACCATCAGTGTCCTCACCATGTGGCTCATACAGGGCATTCCAGCCAGTGGCGTCCAGGGTTACGCTGTTAGCAAGTGTTACAATGTTACTGTTAGCCATTATTACTGACTCGCAACAGTGTTACGGGCACTATTACTGGCTACTGTGTTACAGTTTTACTCATATAGTCACTGTTTCTCACTAGTAACCATGTTACAGTGTTACTGTTAAAGTCATTGTTACTAATTAGTAACAGTGTTATAGTGTTACTGATTCAGACACTATTCCTGGCTAGTAAGAGTGTTACAGTATTTCTGTTACAGTTAGTGTTACTGATTAGTAACAGTGTTACAGATAGTCATTGTTACTGATTAGTAACAGTGTTACAGTGTTACAGATATAGTCATTGTTACTGATTAGTAACAGTGTTACAGTGTTACAGATATAGTCATTGTTACTGATTAGTAACAGTGTTACAGATAGTCATTGTTACTGATTAGTAACAGTGTTACAGTGTTACAGATATAGTCATTGTTACTGATTAGTAACAGTGTTACAGATAGTCATTGTTACTGATTAGTAACAGTGTTACAGTGTTGCTGATACAGTCCCTTTTACTGGATAGTGAGAGTTTTACAGTATTACTGTTATAGTTATTGTTAGTGTTACAGATATAGTCACTACACAGTCACTCACTAGTAACTGTGTTAGTGTTACTGTTGCATACATTATTACTGATTAGTAAGTGTTACAGTGTTACTGATACAGTCACTGTAACTGATTAGTAACAGTGTTACTGTTACAGTCACTGTTACTGATTAGTAACAGTGTTGCAGTGTTACTGATACAGTCACTGTTACTGATTAGTAACAGTGTTACAGTGTTACTGATACAGTCAGTGTTACTGATTAGTAACAGTGTTACAGTGTTACTGATACAGTCAGTGTTACTGATTAGTAACAGTGTTACTGTTACTGTCACTGTTACTCACTAGTAACCGTATTAATGATACAGTCCCTGTTACTGGCGAGTAACACTGTTGTAGTGTTACTGATACAGGCACTATTCCTGGCTAGTAAAAGTGTTACATTGTTACTGATATAGTTACTGTTACTAGTAACGGTGTTAGTGTTACTGTTACAGACATTATTACTGATTAGTAACAGTGCTCCAGTGTTACTGATACTGGATAGTAACAGCCATACAGTGTTACTGTCATAGTCACTGCCATTGAAGTTAATGTTAGGTTCACTGGAGGATTGAAATAGATTGAGATACAAATGAAGTGCAAAGGAAAACAGTTATCAAAACAAAAAGATAAGACAATTTGGCAACGATAAACCAACTGAAATAACACAAATGGACCTGGAACAAAATACACAGAGAGAATAAAAACTAATGTCACAAAACTCAGGTCATTTACATATCCCCGCCTATTCAGACTACAGCAGTTTTGCCCCTCACACTGAAGATATAAAGAGTGTTTCAGTCCAGATTGCTTTTGAATGAAGCAGCCAATGAGAACAGAGCTCATTTACACATATCAGTCTTAAAGGGACAGTAACAAACAGCCTGTTTAACTGTAAGAGATAAAAGAGGCTGGAAATGATGATGTAGAAGTGAATTCTGACTGTTTATGGTAAATAAACACACACAGGCGTCATCAGGACGAGGGAAAACGTAGGATCGGATTTATAGCTCTGCTGGTGTTTAAACCTCTCTGTCTTTACCCTGAAGTGCTTTCCGTCTGTATGTGGTGTTTTTCTGGTTGGGGGTGATTTCTCTGTCCAGATTGTTTTGGACTCCCTAGGGTGAAAATTCCTTACATTGTGACTGCAGGAGGACGAGCATGTGGCTTTACTGGACACTTAAAGAACAGCCGTCTTTACTGCAAAGGTCATCTAGAGATTTTAAAGAGACAGTTCAGCAAAAGGTTCACAGAGCTTCTCCACTCACTTCAAAGAATAGCCCAAAATACAGAAGAAGCCTGGATTCAGCCTGTACTTCAGTCTGTGTTTACAGATAACAGTGTTAGAGTTTTAGAAACCACACATTCAATACGTCTATTAGAGTTTGGAGATGGACATCAATAATTAATCTCATGTAAGTTTCACAGTGAGGTGAAGAAACAACACTGACCTCACAGACACACAAAAACCAAAGAAATAATGAAATATATATCCGGCCGCACTTTATACTGATGGTCCTCTGCACTGTCAGTAATTAAGGTTTGTTTTTCGTTCATCAAGGTACAAACAGTGTAAATGTTCCCTCAAAGCTCCAACAGTGGTTTTAAGGTCTGATTGTGAACCTTAAATAAGTTTTTCCAGGTGAAAAGTTCGTATTTGTACCTTTTCATAACCGAATGTTTTAAACAGAACAGTAAAATAAAAGCCTGGAGACGAGACGGGGTGTGTGGAGTCAGTACAGCTTAGAACATATCATTTCAGTGGATTATGGTTCAGTTATGTTCCCTGACTAAAGGTACTGAGATGGAGCCTTGAGGGTTCCACCCCAGTGACCAGAGGCGAACTGACCCAGAGACAGTTTAGCACCTTTATTTCTGAGAGTGTATAGTTAATGTACAGATATGTAAATTATTAACAATCATCCTGCTGATAGTTGATTATCAACATCAGTAGGGTTCAGGATTCGGTTAATAGGTGATCCCCAAACATTAACCCAATTATTCAAATGAGGCCTGAATTTCGGCTGTTCTTTAGTCCATGTTTATAGATCACAGTGAGTCATGCAGAATCAGAAACTACATAATCAATAAGTCTGTTCTGAACACCACACAGTCTGAGACACGAAGCTGAAGTCGGCTTATTGGCTTATATTCCTGCTTCTTATTCTAATTTTGCATTCCACCTTAAACGGTGCGGCAGTTTCATTCATAATCTATGAAATAAATATTTTGCTGTTTGCTCACATAAAAAATTGGACAGTCCTAGCTTTGTTTGCTGTTTGCTCCCAGAAAAAATCTTTCTTAAGATCGTCTCAGAGAAATAAAGCAGATCTCAGTATTATATTAATGAAGGATCTCTGATTTCTGAGCTGTTCCTCCTGAACCTCCTCAGGAGAAAAGAGGAGACTAACATCAGCGTCTCACTGTGAGACGTTCTGGTGATGAAGGAGAAAAGCCTGAGTTCTCCTTCTGCACTGACAGACTGCTGAGAGGGTTCTGTGATCTAGAACAGAGCTGTATAAGAGAACGATGAGATCTCACACTGTTCTTATGGAGATATTACTCAGCTGAGGCTGGGCTGAGACGAGTCAGACACTGAAGTGAGAAAATCTGAGTTTTATTTCTCAGGAGCCGAATTTCAGAAACAGGAGAAAACGGCTTCAGTCTCACTCTGATTTAAACTGGACTGAACTGTGTCCAGGAGAAGACCTGAGATGAAGAGGAGATTAATTTAGAATGTTTCTCCACTCTGGGATGACACTCATGAATGCTCAGTACAATCAGTTCATAGTAGATACAGATAATAACTGAAATTCTACATTTTTCTCCCAGAAGTCCTCTTGTGATGTCCTCCTGCTGATTCCTCCTGAATGGGTGGAGCTAAACTGCTGTAGGCTGAATGGGTTCAGCTGAAAGGGCAGTAATATGCGAATATGTTCATGATTCTGACATCACAACCATGATGAATCCAAAACAGGCTGTTTTTGCAGTTTAGTTTGTATATACAGACCGTCTGGACTTCAGTGCTTCATGAACGTTTATTGTACATAAAAGCGAGGAGGTCCAGTTTTTGATGATATGGGCCCTTTAAGGGGTTAAAGACATTAATGTCCTCACACAGCGCTGTCCCACAGTCACTCTGGGTCAGTATATGTCAGATCACTGAGGCTCAGCTCTGCAGGACACAGACCCCACAGCCTCGGCACAAAAAGGAAATCAGTGTTTGGCTGATTTCTCAGCTTTATCTGTGAAAATGTTCACTAAATACAAAGAAAACCTTAAAGTCAGCCTGGAGTTCTTGTGCTGTGATTCAGTAACAGGAACATCACTGTTATTTACTGTAGCACATCAACAACAGCAATTACATCACAACATTAACATACAACCACAGCAGTGCAATTAACGATTCTCCAATAATTACACTCGACAGGTTCTTCTAATCAAAGATGATTTATTCCTATTCAAAATAATTTCACCAAAAACTCATACAAACATACCAAACTGTATTAAAGGCTGTATAAAACTACACACTCATAAAAATAAAGGTGGCAAAAAGGGCTTTTTGGAGCGACGCCAGAGGGGAACCAAAAGTGGTTCTCCTTCTGAATGTTTGACTGAATGGTTCTTTAATAAACAGAACACTGCAGTAACAGTGGAGGACGCGCTGCCTCTGCTGTGTTCGGGTCAGGAGGTGTGGGGTTTGAGCAGGGGGACGGGAACGGTGGGCAGAACCTGGTTCTGAAAGACGAACGTCTGAATGCGATTAAAGAGCCACAGGAATACGAGCAGAACACTGACGTACTGGATCCAGGCAAACTTAATCACCTCCCAGAAGCCCTGGCCGATAAGTGCTGCAGTCAAGGAGACACAACTCACGGACACTACAAACAAACAAACAAGCAAACAAACAAACAAGCAAGCAAACAAACAAACAAACAAACAAAAACACAGGAACGCAGAAACTCAGAAACACAAAAATGCAGAAATTCAAAAATGTAAAAACGCAGGAACTCTAAATATAAATATAAAAACTCTGCTGTTTGCAGTGATGTTAACATTGTACAGTTCTGCTACCTCCACCCACCCACACCCACTATCACCAGCCCACCCACCCACACTCACTATCACCAACCCACCCACCCACACTCACTATCACCAGCCCACCCACCCACCCCCACTATCACCAGCCCACCCACCCACACTCACTATCACCAGCCCACCCACCCACACCCACCATCACCAGCCCACCCACCCACACCCACCATCACCAGCCCACCCACCCACACCCACCATCACTAGCCCACCCACCCACACCCACCATTACCAGCCCACGGATAAAGGATATCTGACTGACTCCACCGGGTAACGTATTTCTGCGTTAATCTGAAAGGGTGCATTCACAGCTCGACCAACGATCCACACTGGAGCCGGGCAGGAGAGATGAGTCGTCACTGAGAGAGAGAGAGAGAGAGAGAGAGAGAGAGACAGACAGACAGACAGAGAGAGACAGAGAGAGAGAGAGAGAGACAGACAGACAGACAGACACAGAGAGAGAGAGATTGTTTTTGTATTACTGTTTACTTCATAGCTCTAGTGTTAAAACTGAGAAAGCAAACGTCAGACATCAAACACTTACAGTTTCTCTCCTGATAGGCCCGGATGATGTTGGTGAGATCGTAGGCACTAGCGAACGGACTCGCTCCATCAACCACCGACACCTGCAGAGGAAACACAGCAGGTAAATCACACCTACGGAGGAAACACAGCAGGTAAATCACACCTACGGAGGAAACACAGCAGGTAAATCACACCTACGGAGGAAACACAGCAGGTAAATCACACCTACGGAGGAAACACAGCAGGTAAATCACACCTACAGAGGAAACACAGCAGGTTAATCACACCTACAGAGGAAACACAGCAGGTAAATCACACCTACGGAGGAAACACAGCAGGTAAATCACACCTACGGAGGAAACACGGCAGGTAAATCACACCTACGGAGGAAACACAGCAGGTAAATCACACCTACGGAGGAAACACAGCAGGTAAATCACACCTACGGAGGAAACACAGCAGGTAAATCACACCTACGGAGGAAACACAGCAGGTAAATCACCCCTACGGAGGAAACACAGCAGGTAAATCACACCTACAGAGGAAACACAGCAGGTAAATCACACCTACAGAGGAAACACAGCAGGTAAAGTAACTAAATAGAATGTTTTTTTAATAATAGAGCTGCAGGTCTGCTGAAGCAGTATGAGGGTGATGGGGTGTGTAAAGGTGTGTAAACACACTCACGTTGTACGCAGTGTGTAGTCCTCGGTGAGGGAGGGGGGTTCTCTGGTGGAGTGTCAGGTCTCCGCTGATGAACAGCTGTGATCCGGGGACTGAGGACGAGTGCTGAATAAAGGCCAGAGACTGCATCACTACAGTGGACATCCGCTACGGACAGATGGACAGTCGGACAGTTCACTGATTCATTCAAGAGCTAATAAACCATGTGAATGAACCAGTGTGAATGAGACAGTGTGAATGAATCGGAGTTAATGATCCAGTGTGACTGTGCCACTGTGAATAAGCTGGTGTGAATAAACCAGTGTTAATTATATGTATGTATCCATAATCGTATTAATGTGAAGGATCCAGTGTGAATGATCTAGTATGAATGGACCAGTGTGAATGGACATGTGTGAATGATTCAGCGTGATTGATCCAGTGTAAATAAATCAGTGTGAATGAACCAGGGTACATGAATTAGTGTCAATGAGCCAGTGTGAATGATCTAGTGTAAATGAACCAGTGTGAATGAACCGGTATGAGAGATCCAGTGTGACAGATCCTGTGTGAGTGATCCAGTGTGAATAAATAAAGCAGTCTGAAGGAGCCAATGTGAACGATCCAGTGTAAATGACCCAGTGTGAATAAACCAGTGTATATGAACCAGGGTAAATGATTCTGTGTCAATGAGCCAGTGTGAATGATCTAATGTGAATGAACCAGTGTGAGAGGTCCAGTGTGACTGATCCAGAGTGAATGAACCAGTGTAAATAAACCAGTGTGAGTGATCCAGTGTGAGTGATCCAGTGTGAATTGAGAACATTCTACCAATAGTCACACAAAGGTATGGAGCACTAACTAAGTGTAGGTGTTTGGTGGAGAATTCTGGGTAGTGTGCTCAGGGCTTATGGGTTAATATGTGTGGTTTGTAGTGATGTGCTAATACACACAAACAGCTGATAGGAGAAGATGAGGAGAAGCTGAATGCTGTAAATCTGCTCTCCTGCTTTTAGTGGAACAGCCAGCTGGAGACTCAGACGGTCTGATTTTCCATCCTGATTACTGTCCTCCTCTCTGACCTGTCCAGCAAATACAGTCTATATCAGTTGGTTTATATCAGATAGCAATGCAAACGACTAACATGTTAAACCTCAGCACCTGTTACAGTCACAGACCACCAGATTCACACAGCTGTGCGTCTTGTTTAGATATTATGTATTTATTAGGACTGTTTTGTCTAACAAAACCCATCTGACCAGAACAGCGGTTCTCAACACCAGTCCTAGACAGAACAGGGTTTCAACTGCTCTCCACCAAACACACCTGGTACATGTGAAACGCTCCGTGCTAGAAAAACTTACTGGGTCAGAACTGTTCACAGTGGTGGTGATAGGAACCAGACGTCCACCTCTAAAAGCTCCCTCACAGAAAGTTCCTACATGAAATGGTTATGAATTCACTGCCTGATGACTGAGACACTGTTTTATGATAGTTTTGATTCATGGTGGAGGGATACATAATATGCAGGGCGTTTTGAGGCTCTACATATAATTAATTGAACCTTTTTAGCCAACTGTGTCTGAACACATCGGAATTAGACCTCCGCATTTAACCCATCCGTACAGTGAAACAACACATACACACTAGTGAACACACACACACTAGGGCCAGTGAGCACACTTGCCCGGAGCGGTGGGCAGCCCTATCCACGGCGCCCGGGGTAGCAGTTGGGGGTTAGGTGCCTTGCTCAAGGGCACTTCAGTCACGTACTGATTATGTATGAGATGAGAACTACTGGACTAGATCATCACGTTCCGATGTTCCAGTTACCTTTCTGTTTACCTGCAGTACTTACAGACACAGAGGGGATGCGAAGGTTATTTCCCAGCAGACGGTTGAAGTTTGGAAAGGTGCTCCAGGCCACAAACTCTCCTGCCGTACCAGTCGCTCCAATCATTAACATCTGGTACTGAAACTGCACAACCGGCTGCTCTTCATACGTACTGCGCTTCAGCCAGAACCCTGCTCAATAAATCACGATCAGCTGGTTAATACTGAAATAATACACTCTTACTTTATTTAAAATGGACTTTTACTTTAATAAACCAAAATCTTGACCCAAACAGAAGGCTTATTCTGGAGAAATATCATCTACATGGTGGTCACGAGTCAGAATTGTACTTATATAATAACAATAATAATAATAATGATAATAATGATGATAACAATAAGCTGTTACAATCTTGTTTACAATTAATAAAATATCACTCTTAGTGGTGGAGAATGTATTTCCTATTATTGATAGAATTTAATGTAACTGTATTGTTTCAACAACAAAGTTTGTAAACGATCAGCACTGATCAGCTCACTCCAGCTCTGCTCCTGCCTCCCAGCTTTGGTGTCATTATTGTCATGTTTGTTGAACGTATTGTGAGAATAACGAATTGTGAATTTAATCAAATCAACATGTGGGCTGAGTGCTTTTTGGAAACTGAGCCCTGATTAATAAACTCCTTACTAACAAACTTTAATCACTTTAATAACTCCTGGCCTTACTCTTATTTTAATCATCTCTCACTTTGTTTATGAAGAATTTCTAATTTAGTGAACTCTCACCTGGTTTATAATGAAGTCCTACTGTAATAAATGATAACTTTATCCAATAATAAAAGCCTGTTGTGTTTAATAGTGACCCTTGGCCTGGTTTATAATGAAGTCCTACTGTAATAAATGATAACTTTATCCAATAATAAAAGCCTGTCATGTTTAATAGTGAACCCTTACCTGGTTTATAATGAAGTCCTACTCTGATAAGTGATAACTTTATCCGATAATAAAAGCCTGTTGTGTTTAATAGTGAACACTTACCTGGTTTATAATGAAGTCTTACTGTAATAAATGATAACTTTATCCAATAATAAAAGCCTGTTGTGTTTAATAGTGAACGCTTACCTGGTTTATAATGAAGTCTTACTGTAATAAATGATAACTTTATTCAGTAATGAGAGGCTGTCGTGTTTAATAGTGACCCCTGGTCCAGTACTAAGCCCTTACCTTGGCTCCTGTAGGCTATCAGCAGCGGGGGGATGTAAGTGAGGCAGAAAACAATCAGCACGAACAGCGTTGCTCGAGTCCAAACGCTGCTTCTGTACCTTATTAGAGCCGGGTGAGAGTAAACTTCATAAAAAGCCATCATTATATTGATTTTCTAAACTGCAGCTTTAATCGCGGGTGGAGATCAGACCGAGTCTGCGGCTGCTGCTGCGGTTAGCATGTTAGCATGCCTGCTGAACAGCGCAGCTCTGCTGTGGTTTGGCCGCTGAAAGGTGGAATGATGTGGATTAAACTGCGGGTTTAATTCGTGTATTTAAAGTGACATTTAATCAGATCGAAATGCAGCTAAATTCAGTTCGGTCGCGTTTAAAACGCGAGCACCGTTAGCTCGGCTAGGCTAGCTAGCTCTTCCCGTAGCGAAGCTAAGCGTCCCGACGTTACCATGACCGCCTTGCGAAGCTCCGCCCACCCGCACCACGGCCCCGCCCCTCCCCTCCCCTGCACTTTAATCTCTGCTTTACTCAGAAATGTGTTTCTATAAATGAGATGATGGCGTTGCTGCTAAACTATGATACTAATTCAAGTAGAATAAACGAGGTTATGAAAATATTAACCTTATTGGGCAAATTTCATACGCAAATCCAGAATTATGGCATCGGTTTCCTAATTTTAAGCCTTATGTTTTTATGATTCCTTATTAGAAATACAGAACAAAAAAGAGCAAAAAAGCTAAAACGACATCTCGTCTATTAAATGAAATTATTAAAGCACTGCATTGAGTAACGAAGATCATCTCATCATCATATATGAAATTATGTTTATAATTATTACTTTTTCTCTTTCCTTTTTTGTTTTCAATTTGATTTTACTTTGTGTTGTTTATATGCGGATGTATGTATTGTCCTTTCCCCTGAATAGGTTCATTATAAATCCGTCTTCCAAGATTTTAGATGTTTATATAAAATAAAATAAACAAGATAAACTCCGCATGACATTTGCATGTGTGGTATATATATTATGTAAAAATGCATATATAAAATATAAAATATGGTTTTTAAGGCGGAGACGAAAATAAATACATGCGTCTTTGTTTTTGTGAGGCGCCGGAAGACACCACACATTCACGGTGTCCCCTCATTGAATCTCAGGGCGCGCTTGTTCGGGCGCAGCCGGCCATGTGTGAGTCTTTGTGTCCTCTCGGCTTTTGGGCTTTTGTGATGGTCACTGAGTGCATGATTTAACCCCGGAAGCGCGGACAGAGCGGACCGACCCGAACCCGTTCGGAGTGGATGTGTGGATCCCCCCCGCTAAGCGCTGAATGGTACGAGCTGGATGACGTCAGCCCGTCTGTGCGGCGGAGTGCTAACGCTAACGCTGGCGGACTGTTGACGTTTCGCTTTGACTCTGTTGTTTTCAGTCAGGTCCGCTTCCCGCGGTGTTTATTGACCTTATTCAACATTATATATTTTATATCTACGGTTTTTTTACGCGAGTGACGCTCAGAATCCGCCAAAATGAAATGGATGTTTAAAGAAGACCATTCTCTGGGTAACAGATTTTAGCTGCTTTGCTAACCTGGTTCTGATCAGCGGGTCCGGATTAAATCAAGATGAACATTTAAGATTAACTGTCAGTGAAAACGACACAGACTTTAATCTGATTTGTTTGCTGTCAGAGCCGTTTAGCTGGCTGGCTCGGCCAGTTCTGGTCATGTTTACATTGTTAGGCCGTGTTGCTGCTGAGCGCCCATTCACATACATACAGCAGGGTTCCTTAAGGGTTCTTTAGCGAAGACAGTGGTTCTATATGGAACCATGAACACATCTGCATGCTCAAATGGTTCTTCGCATGATGAATTGGTTCTTGAGATTGATGGAGAATGTGTTGGTTCTGTATAGCACCATAAAGGGTTCTGCTATTGTTGTGATGTCAAGCTTGTAACAGTGGAAGAACCCTTTTTGGTCCTGTATAGAACCAACACATTCTCCATCAGTCTGAAGAACGTGTCACCATGCAAAGAACAATTTAAGCATGCAAATAGTTCTATAGTTCTACTCATGGAAGCATTTTCTTTACTAGAGAACCCCTGAAGAACCATCTTTTGTAAGCGTGTAGAGGTGGGCGATATGGCAAAAATGTAATATCACGGTATTTCAGTATGTCACGATAATTATCTTTACTGACATCTGAACGATTGGAAAGACAACTTGTTTAAAAAATATGATCAAAAACTATGAACACAGTGATTCATTTTCAATATTTATCACTAAATCCAATAAGACAGGACTAGTCATGTTCTCTCTGTAATCAAACGTGCAGTTGGGAAGTGGTTTTAAGTACTGACGATGTCTGATCTGCTCTGAAAAGCTTATTGAGAAATATTGTGATGTAATTGATCACGATAAAGGTAAATATTGTCATATTGCCCAGCCCTACATCAGCCTTTAATTATATTCACTTAATATACTTCAACCTTATTTCATCATGTTTTACAAATCAGCCTGTAACCGTCTGACTGTAGAGCTTAATCTGACGAGCCGACCAACTAACGAGCATCTATTTAGAACGAAACCACAGACACTACGGCTGAATCTTAAATGGGTCCCTGCTCCCTATGTAGTGCACTAGATAGGGCACTCCCAAAATTAATTCAGCTAAAACTGCACGACTCCCTCGTTAACGTTTACTGCGCTGTTCGGGTGTAAAAGCTAAGGGTGGGCAATATGACGATATTTTATTGTTATTGTGATAAATTATGTCACTGTGTGCTTTTCTGAGCATGTCGTGTTTATCGCCAGTACTTAAAGAGACGGACCAGCTGCGTGTTTCAGTACAGAGTGAGCACAGTTAGGCCTGTTTAACTGGATTAAGTGCAGTTTGTAAAACGCTGAATAAAAAGTTTTGTAGTTGTAAGTTTATTATTATTATTGTTATTAGTATCAGTATCATAGTGTTTTATTAATCACACTACAGGTTCTGTTTTGTCTGTTCCAACTTGTTAAATCTCAGAAAAACGAAATATTACGATGCATATGGTCCATCGTAAAAATGTCTTGAAGTATCGTGATATAATGTTTTTGCTATAATGCCCACTAAGCAGTGCACTATCGAGGGAGAGCGGAGCCGTTTGAGATTTAGCCTAAAAGCACTTAAGAAAAAAGCTTTGAAAGCACTAATTTATTGCTTTGTTTCGTTCTTAAACAGCGAGAGTCCGTCGAGTCCTGCGGTGTCAGTGTTTTCAGACTCATCATTTCAGTCTGTTGAGTGTTTGATTTACCATAAATATGATGTAAATTAACAGCTTTCAAATTCCTACAACTCCTGTTTTTCCTGTTAAGTTTCATTTCTGATCTGAAACAGTGCATTTCGTGCTGCGTATCAATACATTACAGACGTTTTTAGATTTCTCATCAGCAACTCAGCGTTGATGATCAATGTGTCCGTCCTGTGGGGCTCAGTGGAGTCTGCGCTAAAGTGCAGTTATTAAGGTGCATTTGGAGGATGATGCCACTGATCTGCGCTCCAGCCTCCACAGTAAACAATAAAAAAATCAATACTGGGCTTTCCCTCAGAGCCAGGAAGCCTTAGACCAGCAGGCTGTATTTTATTTTATTTTATTTGATCCTTTTGACCCAGAAAGCCTTAGATCATAACATACACATTGCCTGCCAGTTTGTTTGAATGAATGATTGGATTTATTTGAGTTTTTTTTCCTTATTTTTGGTCCCTTTTTTTGATCCAGAAATTAGACAAGCCATGGTCTGTTTCTTTTCTTTTTTATCCAGAAAGGCTTAGACCATGCCTGTTTATTTATTTATTTATTTGATCTAATTTAATTTGATTTATTTTTGCATTTTTGTTCTTACTTTTGATCTTATTTATTTTCATCCCTCTAATCCAGAAAGTATTAGCCTGGCAGGCTGTTTCCTGGTATTGATCATCTTTTATTGTTTATCGGGGACGCATTAGGAGTCTGTGCATTAGTGTTTGAGCTGAGTGGAGGAGCTCAAACAGGAGCAGCTCAGGAGTATTTTCTGTTGATGAAACTCAAACAGTCATGTTTGCTGTCTCACTGAAAGATGGCAAACAGTCAGATTTGTGTTAGTGAAGCAGCTCATTCAGCTTCTACTGATATATTTAAAAGGAGCCTCAATAAAACAGAATTTATGTATCAGAATCATCAGAATCAGATTTAGTGGCCAAGTATGTTGACACACACACACAATTGGGTTCCAGACGTTGGCGTCCCACCAGTATAATATACAATATAGAGACACTGTACATATAATTTACAGACAATACACAATATACACAACATACAGGTTATACAGGGACAAGCATTACAGATGAGTGTGTGTGGTAGTGCAGAGAGCAGTAGTGTGTATCATGTACGGGAATGAAGTCATGGTGTATGATAATGTACACTCAGCGTTATTCTGAGTGGAACACGCTGACGGTTCTAATGATGATCTGGGCTTTTTAAAGCTATCAAACAGCTCTGAGTCTAATTCTGGTTCATGTTCCTCTCTGTTCTCTGTAGAGCACCGGTGTGTGGAATCTGCCAAAATCCGCAACAAGTACCCAGACAGGGTTCCAGTGAGTATGAATACTAATGAACCTCTCCAGGCTCCGCCCACTAACACGTTATTTCATAGCTACTGTTGTGAGGTTGAGCTTTACAGAACAATACAGTCAATCTAATGAGAAACTGTAGAACGGACTCCGCCATATACGCACACTGACCGCCTCACAGCACTGAACTCCTGAAACACCCTTGTACTGTTAATGAATAATCTGTGACTCTAATGCTGCTCACATAGAGCACCGAGTGTACTGATGAAGTAAGAACCCGGTTCTGTTTAAACTGAGGGGCTGACAGCTTATTTTCTTATCTAGCCTGTTAGCTGCTCATCTAGCTAACAGGCTAAAAGAGCCAACATGCTAACAGCTCCATCATTAATATCACAGCTTGAATTAAAGCACTTACAGTATGATTCACTGTAAAGCTGCAGTATAAAAGTCTAAAAATGTCACTTGAGTGTCTTAAACGCCTCAACTGTCAGAAGTTGCGTCAAACCCAGGCTGAATCCCAAACGGCTCTGCACTCACTAAATAGTGTTCTAGCTATGAAAGTTTAGAAATTCTGGCCTCTACAGACAAACAGTGCATCATGTATCGAGTGTGGATGAGTCTGAGTCCCAAATGACTGTTTCTTAGCTGTAGTTTGCTCTGTTGGGCTGCAGGATCCAGTATTTAAACTCCTGTAGTGCACTATGTAGGGAGCAGAGAGCTGTTTGAGATTCAGCCCCAGTGTGAGAAGAGGGGCCGCTGGATTGGTGCTAAATAAGACTTGTGGTGGTGATTTGGTGACCAAAAAGTACTGTTAATGTAGAAACCTTCGCTTTAAACAGTGCTGTGTTGTTATAAGTTCGTTGTTATACAACAAACAGTTAAAGTTCATGAAATGACCGCAGTGAACAGTGTTGGGTTACCGAACGTTCTCCTCATTCAGCAGTCCACGGTTGCCTGGCAGTGACACCATACATTAAAGGAACTACATTTCTTGGCGGAATACTTGTTTATATTGATTACTATTAATAATAACTTACATTAATTTCTGAAAAGTCGTGTATTTTATGTTGGCCGCTGTTTTATAAAAGCAGTAAGCCACTTGGGGCCGTGCGTTACAGGGACGGGTTTTACTCCGCTTTGCGTCATGCCTAAGAACACCCTTCCCTGATGAAATCACAGTAACGCACGGCCTCCAGTGGCTTACAGCTTTAATACACTTGAGCAGAAGTGAAAGTTATAAATTGAAAATACTCAGCAGAGCACTAATCCATCAATACTAAAGTACATGTACTTCAGTAAATGGAACTAGTTACTACCCACCTCTGTGAAAGTGGCTCAGATCTGATGTGAAAAGGTCAGATTTGAGTGTCCACACTGCTCTGAACACATCAGATCTGTGTCAGTGAGGCAGATTTGTGCCACCTCAGCCTGTGACTGTGAGCACATCCTTCAGGCTGAATGGGATTTTTTCCAGTGTTCTGTAAAGCTCAGCGTCGCTGCAGCAGCGCTGACAGAACTGGAGCACAGGTCAAAGTGCGCTAGCAAGATAATTATATAATAACCATAAGAGAAGCTTCACTCTGTAATTTTCTCCTGGCAGGTTTGGAGATGAATATATTCACCATAAGAGTAAACGAGCTCATTGTTTGCATTGTTTTGCGGTTACCTGGGAGCCTTCATAACCTCCACATACTATAGGCTGCAGGCTTTGAACAGTGGGGGTTTGCATGTATTCAAAGCTGTAATTATCTAAGCGTGAGCCGCTGCTGAAGCTCTGCCTGCGGCTATAACAAAAGGCCCTGTGAGGCTCTGGGCCCCTCCTGCAGCCCCGCCTGAAAACTGACACCTGGAAGAGTTCACAGTGCAGGACAGCCCTGCTGCCCCGCCGCTCGGCCGCCTCTCACCGCTCCACTCTCCCTAACACGACCCAGCTGAGTCGCCAGCCTTTAGCTCTGATTTTCCATTCCACCTTAAACGGTGCAGCAGTTACACTGTGTCTGAGACATGAAGCACATTTATAATACCTAAATAATAAGAACAGCACAGTTACAGTGAACAGCTTCTCACTGGAGTTTTCCGTTCCACCTTAAATGGTGCAGCAGTTACATCCTACTACACATTTAAGGTGGACCAGAAAATTCCGATAATAGGCTGGCGAATAAGAAGCTTTAAGCCAGCAGGTTTGTACAAGAAGATGGTTCTTCACAGGTTCTTTAGTAAAGACAGTGATTCTGTGTAGAACCATAAACACTCAAAGAACCATTTGCATGCCTAAATGGTTCTTTGCATGGTGAAATGGTTCTTAAGATTGATTTAGAGTTTGTTGTGTATGGTTCTAAATAGCACCAAAAAAGGTTCTGCTTTTGCTACAAGCTTGACATCGTCACAACAGCAGAACCCTTTTTGGTGCTATATAGAACCATTTTCAGAAATGTTCTATATAGAGCCATTCCCAATCAATCTGAAGAACCATTTCATCATGCAGAGAACCCTTTATGCATGCAGATGGTTCTTCGAGTGTTCATGGTTCTATGTAGAACCAGTCTTTACTGAAGCTGCTTTTCCGCAGCATGGTACAGCTCAACTTGACTCGCTTTTGGTGCCAGCTATTTCGTTGTCCACTGCAGATATAGCGCCCCCTCAGTGTAGCTGGTCATCATAGCGACGCTGCATGAAGCTGCCGTGGTGTGAAGTACATAAATGTTGTTCAGAAATAGTACCAGGTACCAGATTTGCCTGATGAGAACCAGAAAAGGGGAGTAGAGTCGAGTTAAGCTAGTACCACACAGTGGGAAAGCAGCTTAAAGAACCCTTGAAGAACCACTTTTTTAAGAGTGTGTTAAAGTAAAGAAGCAAACTGTGAACGTCTGATTGACAGTATTTGCTGTGTAAATATGATATTTCTGTATGTGAGGCAGTCGGTTCACTGTTGATCTGCTTTGTTTAAGCTCTCTCTCTCTCTCTCTCTCTCTCTCTCTCTCTCTCTCTCTCTCTCTCTGTGTTTCTCTTTCTGTGTCTCTCTCTCTCTCTCTCTCTCTCTGTGTTTCTCTTTCTGTGTCTCTCTCTCTCTCTCTGTGTCTCTCTCTGTCTCTCACTCTGTCTCCTTCTTTCTCTCTCTCTCTCTCTCTCCCTCTGTCTCTTTCTTTATCTCTCTCTCTGTCTCTCTCGCTGTCTCCTTCTTTCTCTCTCTGTGTCTCTTTCTCTCTCCCTCTCTTTCTCTCTCTCTGTGTCTCTCTCTCTCTCTCTCTCTCTCTCTCTCTCTCTCTCTCCCTCCCTCTCTCTGTCTTTCTGGGCAGGTTATCGTAGAGAAGGTGTCCGGCTCTCAGATAGTGGACATCGATAAGAGGAAGTATCTGGTCCCCTCGGACATCACGGTGGCCCAGTTCATGTGGATCATCAGGAAACGGATCCAGCTGCCGTCGGAGAAGGCCATCTTCCTGTTCGTAGACAAAACCGTCCCTCAGTCCAGGTGAGCTGGAGCGTCTCGCTCTGCAGGGTCGTTTTACAGACCTGGGAAAAGACTGATCGATTGTTTGATTGATTGATTGATTGACCATTAATTAATTAATTAATTAATCTGAGGAAGCCCTGCTGAGAGCAGTGCCTCCTTACCAGGAAACAATGGGACTGTAATAAATGATGAGACAGATAAAGTTTAACTCCCAGGAGCCTCTGCTCAGAGAAAAGCCATAAACATGAAGGGAGAAGTTGTTTTATAAATATAGGTGTTTTATAGCTGTAGAGGTTTTATAGATACGATGTCACACAGTGTCAGAAACCACATAATCGAGTCTGTTAGTGGTTGTGTAACAGAGCTGGGCGATATGACAATATATATTTTGTAATTGTGATAAATTATGTCACAGTACAGTACAGTCTGCTTTTCTGATCATATCCCGTTTATCATCAGTGCTGGTAGAAACTGACCGACTGCATGTTTCATTATAAAGAGAGTAAAATTAGTCAGTTTAACTGGATTTAGTGATAAATACTGAATGAAAATCACTGTGTTCACAGTTTTTATAGTATTTTTTAAATGTAGCTCTGCTGGATCTTCTCTGTTCCGGCTGATCAAACATCTGAAAAAAGAAATATTGTGACGTATCGTGTATCAGGAAAGTGTCTTTAAGTATCACAATATTATATTTTTGCCTTTTCGCTCAGCTCTAATGTAATAACCGTCAGCTGCTCTAAAATAAACATGTTCTTCCACCTCGTTCTTTCATCATAATATTGAATTTCATATCCTCAAACTCCCAGTAAGGAGGCGTCTCTGTGAATATTGAGCCTTTATGGGGAATAAAGTGTTCCTCTGTTTCTCTGAGCTGCATGTTTATTACACACATCAGTGAGTGACTCGAGAGAGTGACTCACTGTTTCCTCCCGAAAACACCCAAATTGAGGAATCCTGGCCTGAATTTCAGCAGTTCCAGTTCTGCAGGATTTCAGAATTTACTCAACCTGGAGCTGCACATTTACACTGATGCAGTCAGGGCTTCTCTGAGCTGCTGTTGTTGAGCACAGACTCATTTATTTAGATAATAACAAAAGAAAAAGTTCACTTTAGATCAATTATGACAGATTCTAATAAATAACATCAGTGAATCTGCACTTTTAACATCTATTACGCTTTACCAGTTTCTAACTTTCCTTTCCTTTAGCTTTTTGTGGATGCAAACGTTCTGCAGAGTCCCAGAGCTCAGCGTTCTCAGAGACTCTCTCCCCAGAACCCACTTTTCTCAGCTGCCTGAAACGCCTCGTTGGAATTCCAGCCCTTTTCCTTTGTTACAGGATGACATCATTTCGTAACACAGTCCACTGCCCGCCTACCGGCGAGCTCCGCCCCCTCAAAGAGCGCACAGCGGCTACTGGAGGAGGTCCAGATTTTTGCTCCAACGCAAGGAATGAGCAAAAGTGTGGGCAGTCTGGAGGTCCCTAAGGACCGGATAATCTGCCTCCTCTAATGTAAACTCTGCAAACGTTAATGTTCAAATTTCGTAACCCACTTCGTCTAATATTAACATAAACTTGGCACACGTTAATAATCAAACTGGAGAATCTACTTCAGATCATTTTTAAAGAAGCTTTTTGCAAATGCTAATATTGAAATTGTAAAATCTACTTAAACTAATTTTAACAAACTTTGCAAAGGTTATTATTGAAGTCGTATAATTACTTCATATAGCGTTTATGTAAACTGTGTAACGAGTAGGTGTTGTTATTTTTGTTTTCCTTCTCTCCTGTTTCAGCTGTTAAATGGATGTAGTTCGTACAGTGGGTGCTGGCAGGGTGTTGGTGTTGTCGTTGTTGTTAACCTTTACAATCCGAACACGATTTATTTGTACGATTTATTCGGAAGATGTCAAACACATGTATAACTGACTGTATCCTGCAGAGCAACTGCAACATTATTCGCCAGTTAAAAATCCAGTTAAACTAATTTTACTCTCTTTATAATGAAACATGCAGTTGGTCAGTTTCTACAAGCACTGATGATTTATCACGATACTAATATATATATTGTCATATCGCCAAGCCCTGAGTTAAAGTCAGTAAATAAACAGTAATTGTGTACTAAAGTGTGCAGTAGTGAGTCTCTGTAGAGGATCTGTAACTTATTCACACTTTCAAAATCAACAGCAGAATTAAAACTGACTGCGGAGACACAAACCTTTTCATATGCATGAGACGGTTTGTAATGTTTTGCACCACTGACCGCCATGTTGTGTCGTTTCAGTCTGACCATGGGGCAGCTATACGAGAAGGAGAAGGACGAAGACGGCTTCCTGTACGTGGCCTACAGCGGAGAGAACACGTTCGGATTTTGAAGCCTCTGCATCGACGGCCACGCCCACCTGAACCACATTAGTCCCGCCCACTCCGCACCGTGCCCCACCCACTCCCGCCTCTGGAAGTTTCCCCTCAGACTGAGCGCGACTGCACTGCTCGAGTACCGTGTTTGGAAGTGTGGATGAACCATCGTCGCATTAATTATGAAAACGTCTGCATCGTATCTGTAGTGTCACCCATATCGTACCGTATTATGAAACACAGTAGCGTTAGATCGACTCATTAAGTGATATTTTTGTGAATGGTATTGCAGTATTATTAGAGGTGCTTAATATTGTTGTTTTAAGCGATAATATACAGTAATAATAACTTTTAAAGGTTTAATTTATCTTTTTTCCCTGTATAAAAGTATATTTAAGAAAAATATTTGAACGGTAAGGTAGCTGGATGACCTAACCAATAAAAAAATAAAAACACCAATGCTGAAGTTTTGTGCATGTTTATTATTCCTAAACTCATAATTTAAAATCATAGATGTCTGCAGTGGGGAAGGTCAGTGTTTCAGAGGTTAAAGTAATAAAAAAATGAATACTGATAAAGATTTTCCCCTCATATATGTCATACAGTGTGTTTTATTGTAAATATTCTTGTATGCATCATTCATAGAACACATTCCTACTGAAAAACAAAACAACATATAAACAGCATAAATAATAAGTAGCAGATTTTAAAATAAATATAATAATACAAAGAGTAAGTTTATAGTAATGATCGGTTGAACTTAACAACGAAGTAAAAGTTGGCTTCCAATTCACCATCTTGGTCAAATGTTCCATTCCACCTTAAGTGCTATAGCAGCTACATGGAACTGCTGCCTCATTTAAGGTGGAATGGAACATTCAAATAAGAAGCTGCTGATTTGGAAGCCAACTTCACCAACATGTTGCAAGTGTGTGATGATCCAGGCCTGCAGTTAGCACCATGCTAACTGGTGGGCTATAAGCTCCCATTACCTGTTAGCTATATTAGCCTCGTCGCTCCAGAGCTAAAACTACAGAAGCAAACCTCAGACACCAAACACCTCTTAGTGGATCGATGGTGTCTGGAGGGATATAAGAGGGAGAAATATGACCTTTTGCCCACCTTTCGCGTTAGGATTACACACACACACACACACACACACACACACACACACACTCTCCCCTGCGCTAAAAGCCAATTTAACACCTCTCTACCAACAGAGGATGGGGTCATGACCTTTCTGCTCACCTCAGCCTGTTAGGCACAGCTAATATTGCACTGCTTCTGCTGTTTAACTCTCACGCGTCTCCATTATCACCAGCGCTAACAAAAGCATGCTGGAATTTTATATCAGTTACTGCCAAAGCCTTCTTTAACGGCCCTTAAAGGGCCCCAAACACGGAAAACCAAATGTCCCCTGCTTTTTTGAAATGAGTCTGTTGTAGAGTGTAAACACTGTTTAAGCATCTTTGGGTTCTTGAAAAGTGCCCTGTATGTTTAATGTATTATTATTATTATTGTTGTTGTTGTTGTTGTTATTTTTATTACTGTTAAAGTTACGTACCGTTCACTCTCCAGTACATATATGGAAATGAAACTGCCTTTTAGAATTCACTGGTTTTGTGAAAGGAACACATTTACAAAAAAAAAATCCCAAAATGGCGAAGGATTAGGGCTTTGTTCACTCAGCAGGTAAAAGTGGCCCAAATCCATCTTCTTCCTCGTGTGTGACACAGATGTGTGTCTGTGTGTCAGAGTGAACAGATAAACACACTGAATCTGACATTTTCAATTCCGATCTGAGACGCTTTCGTGTGTGGTACTGAAATCCGATACGTATCCAATCTGCGGCAATGCGACTCAGTCTGAACAGCCAGATCGGAATTCATGCGACTTTTACATCAATCCAACTCGACATTCGTCATTATCAGACAAACAAAACAATCAGATTTGCTGAGAAAATCAGATTTGGGCCACTTTTACCTGCTGTTTGAATGTAGCCTTAGCTTTTAATGGTCTCAGCATTGACGGCTTCAAACAGCTGAAAAACATTGCAGAGCCAGTTTATGTTTAATATGAGACCAAATATTCACTACATGGTTTAAATCTGGACTCTGACCAGCCAGAACTATCAGTACAAACATTATATTTTTTGCCCAGGAGTGTACATTACATCCACATACATTCAGTTCAGCCCCGCCCACTCATACTGACGCTACAAGGAGTATGTCAGACAGTGTTTGAGGCACAATACACAGCAGCCAGTCAGAACAGAGCTCATTTGCATAGGTCAGTTTTAAACGGGCAGTAAAAAAATAGCCTGTTTAATTCTCAGGGATGAAGAAAGCATGAAGCAAATGGACGGAAGAAAAATGAAACATATCGACCCTTTAAGGTCTAGGTATTAAGATAAGTGTGAGGTTTAAACTCTATAGTACTAGATAATTATTTTGGGTAACATGATTGTGAGTTCCAAGGTGGGTTAACTGCACTGAAATGCCCAGCAGGTTCTAGATATTACGGGTAAGTATGTGGAACTATTGTGGTAGTTATATGCTGAATAAAGACTGCAGATGAATAAAGTGCAGCGTCTCATTCAGTCTGTCTTTATTATCTATTAACTAAACTAAATCTGGGCTGTAAAAGAAAGCAGTGATTCTTACTGTGGTTCTACTGGGTTCTCATCATTAAATCACAAAACTAGCTTTGTGTTCTGTGCATCATTTTACACCATATAACTCATCCGCTATTTGGAGGGGTTTCTGATGTTAAACGTGTGAGATTTCACTGAAATTTAGTGTTTGTTAGTATTTACTGTCTCATTACTCCAGATAATTATAAGATACTTTACTTTGTCCTTTACCAGCTTAATATCTAGAACCTGTTAGTCATTTTGGTGTAATTTAGTCCAGCTGTCTTTACTTCCCATCTGACCCAACATGGTTACACAGCACTTTAGAGTCTGTACCCCACATTTACCCGCTTAATATCTAGAACCTGTTTGGCATTTCAGTGTAATTTAGTTACAACTATCTTGGAACTTACCATCATTTCACCCAAAATAATTATCTAGTACATTGGAGTTTGTACCACTTACATGGTTAATGTCTAGAACTCAAGGGACTGTAAAAGAAATCATACCTTAGTGAAACAAACGGAGAAACTTTTGATTCAGACCATATTTGTGTTTGCAAGTACATTCTTAAAAAAATTGGTTCTTCAAGGGTTCTTTAGTAAAGGGAATGCTTCTATTTAGAACCATGAGTTCTACATAGAACCACTTCATGCTTGAATGATTCTCTGCATGGTGAATTTGTTTCTTCAGATTGATGAAGAATGTGTTGTATATGGTTCCATATAGCACCAGACAGGTTCTTCAGTTGTTACGATGTCAAGATATTACAACAGAGGAACCCTTTTTTGTGCTATATAAAAACAATTTCAAAATGGTTCTATATACACTCTTAAAAAAGATGGTTCTTCAAAGGTTATTAATAAGAAAAATGGTTCTATGTAGAACCACGAACACTCAAAGAAGCATTTGCATGATTAAATGGTTCCCTCCATCATAAAAGGATTCTTCTGACTGATGTGCATGGATGTGCTATAGATGGTTCTGTATAAAGGGTTCTTCTACTGTTACAAGCTTAACAAAGAACCTTTTAATCATGGAAAAGCCTTGAAGAACCATCTTTTTTAGGTGTGTAGGAGATGTTTAATTGTGTACAGTCTTGTTTTTCAGGAAGAAAATACAACCATCAAATCAAACAGAAAGACTGACCGGTCCAGACTGGAATCTGTCCATTCAGAACGCAAATCAATCGTAATTAATGTAGCTGTGTAACGAGTTATGTAATTACAGTGAAACAGTAGCAGGATGTCAGTTCGGGCCTCCTGAGAGTTAAACAGCACCTGTCCATGTGAGAACCATCGTGTCCGTGTGTTTAGGACTGCTGCTGTCCTGATGAAGCTGAATCCGATCTGTTGGGGGCACTAGGGGGGTCCCCGCAGAACAGCAGCAGCTCGCGGGGGCTTCGGGGCCAAAGAGGGAACACCTGAGACCGCAGCACATCCCAGGCCTGCTGGTACTCCTCCGCCGCCTGTTTATAGTCCCAGTATGACCTCAGCTCCTTACCCCTACAACACAAACACACCAGAACTGATCAAGCAGGCTCCGCCCACAAACAGGTTCTGTGGTAGATACTGTTGTGAGGTTGTACAAACCCATTCAGCCTAATGAGAAACTGTAGAACAGACTCAGTTTATATCACAATACCTACATTTAGAGTCGGTTATTCATTCAGCCTAATGAGAAACTGAGAAGACATTTTCTTATATAGAACCTGTTTGAAAAGGGTTCTATATAGCACCCGAAAGGGTTCTTCTACTGTTACAAGCTTTACATCGTAACAATAGAAGAACTCCTTTGGGTGCTATATATAACCCTTTTCAAAAAGGTTCTATATAGAACCATCTACAGCACATTCTCCCCCACTCTGAAGAAAAGTGTAAAAACAAAGGAAAGCTGTTCTATGAGCAGATCCAGACCGGAGACTGGATGTGGTGGCGCTCTGTGTGTTTTGGAGCCACTCGGGCGCCTCTTTATCCCTCTTTTCTCTTTCATTTCCTCAGTCTGGAGGGCAGAAAGTCCACAAAACGAACTGCAGATGCTCCCAGTGTGACACCACACCACACTGATAAAAACAGAGAACACAGTGTATACGAACCTCAACTTTTCTGGAATTGTGGTTTGTAGTTAATACACACTCTTAAAAAAGTGGTTCTTTAAGGGTTCTTTAGTAAAGGCAATGTTTCGACATAGAACCATGAGTTATACAGAACCGTTTCATGCTTAATGGTTCTCTGCATGGTGAAATGGACCTTCAGATTGATGGAGTTTGTGTTGTACATGCTTCTATACAGCACCAAAATAGTTCTGCTGTTGTTATGACATCGAGCTTGTAACAGAAGAACCCTTTTTAGTGCTACATAGAACCAACACATTTTCCATCAATATGAAGAAACATTTCACCATGCAAAGAACCATTTAAAACGGTTCTATATAACTCATGTCCTTTACTAAAGAACCCTTGAAGAACCATCTTTTTTAAGCGTGTACTGGGTAGTTAATATACTGATGTTTGTACTTAGTATAATTGAGCTTGTTCACTCAGCGAGCACTTTCTCAGGAACACTACACTAATTCAGGGAAGTTCCTCCTTTTGCTCTCGAACAGCCTCAACTCTGGCCTGGATTCCACAACATGCTGCAAACATGAGGTTCTGGTCCATGTTGAGATGATCAGATCATACAGATTTTTCAGCTGCACTTTCACGCTGTGAATTTTCAGTTCTACCACGACCCAAAGGAGTTCCACTGGATTCAGATCTGGTGACAGTGAAGGCCACTGAAGAACACTGAGCTCACTGTCATGTTCACAAAACCAGTCTGAGGCTTTTGGATGCTGGAAGTGGCCATTAGAAGATGGTAAATTGTGGCCATGAAGGGATGAACATGGTCAGCAACAACACTCAAACAGGCTGTGGCATTCAAGCAATAATTGATCGGTATTAACGGGCCGATAAAACATTCTCCACCCCATTACACCACCTCCACCAGCCTGGACGACTCACACAAGGCAGGCTGGGTCCATGGATTCATGCTGCTGGCACCAAATCCTGACCCTGTCATCTGTGAGCCTCAGCAGAAATCCAGATTCATCAGACCAGGTTACGTTTCTCCAGTCTTCGACTATTCACACATTTCACTCGCAAGTTCTTTCCCCTGACAGGGTTGCCAGATTTGTGGATTTCCCAAAAATTCCGGTTAGTCTGAAAGTGCAGTGCGGTAGGGAATTACACTGTGGCGGGTGCGATTTCTGCTTGGACTACTGCATTCTGAGATGCTTTTCTGCTCACCACAAGTGTAGGGAGTGGTTACCTGAGTGACCGCAGCCTTTCTGACAGCAACATTTGTAGGCACAATCAATAAGGTTGTCAATGCACTGGGGAGAACAGATATTCTATTAATTTTTGAAAACAATCAGAAACAGCATCTGTGCAACAGTGATCACAGTCATCATTTGCCTTCATTCAAACTTTGCCCAATACACTGTGGGAATACCTAATCGTGAGGGTATCGTTACACCCCTGACAGTCAGTCATGTATTAAAGCAACACTTCAGCCAAAATTGATCCACTTTCACCCCCCAACCACAAAATGCAGTCGATCAGCCAAGACATGTTCGGTGTTTGAAAATTGCGATTTGCTTTGTTAGTTTTAGTGCTAAAGCTATGAAGGCTAATGATGCTAACAAGTAACTGAAGCCTTTATTAGCAATTAGCATGATGCTAACTGCATGCCTTAATCATCACACACTGGCTTCAAATGTGCTAGTGAAGTTCCCACGGCATGAGGTGCCAGGATGTAACTGCTGCACCATTTAAGGTGGGATGGAAAATTCCAATAGGAAGCTGGCGAATGGGAAGCCAGCTTCAGCTTCACGCCTCAAACCTGTTTGGAGCTGTTTAGTAATCTCTAATAGTATGTCAGTGAGTCATAAAGCCTCAGATTAACGGAGTGTAAGTGCTCATCAACCTGCAAATCAGTATTTACTGCGCTATTCAGTCTGAGCAGAGACAGGGAAGAACATGCTGTTCCCTCAACGGCCAGACCGGAGAACTGAGCATGTTGAGAGAGAGAGAGAGAGAAAGAAAGAAAGAGAGAGCAGCTCAGCCATGAAAGAGGAGAGGAGTGGATCAGGTTAAAGGAAAAAAGAAAAAAGTGCTGAAGAACAGAGGCTCACTGTTCACACGCAGGAGAGAGAGAGAGAGAGAAATAAATAGCAGCTCAGCGAAAAACAACTGAAAACTGCTTAAATGAGCTTCAAACTTGACTTTACATCTAAAACCCAATTACTTCATCTCCATGAATCACTTTCAGACAGATTCATTAACTAAGCAGCATTAAAATCAGTGTTTCAGAGGCCAAATCGGTCACACAAAGCTGTGAGAGAGTGAATTTTCTGGTTTTCCTCATGAAAGGCTCCTGAAATCTGAACTTCATCAAAGCCATAATGATAAATAAAGACGTAAATAATCACTAGAAAAGTGTATTTCCTGAAGAAAATACAAAGTGATTGTGTAGCTGTCATTCAGAGTGGTTTGGTGTGAAATGGTTCAGGTGTCTTTACAGTGGTGCTGATAGGAACCAGGGGTCGCCATGACTACAACACAAATATAGACATTTTATTCACTATCCAGAACCACCAGTCAACCTACACGAGTCTTCTGAGCTTATATGGAATATACATGACAGGAAAATTGTGGAAAATACAAAATTTCTCAAGTTTTCTTTGGGGACTATTTTGCCTTTGAAAAACCTTCATGTATCCCTCCACAATGAATGGATTACAATAAATGGATTAAAAACTGTTTTAGACCCAAACTTAATCACAAATCTACCATAAAACAGCGTCTCAGTCATCAGGCATTTGGCATTTGTCGAGTGACTCTTGTCGCCTGGACTATGAACTGGCCCTAAAGGGGACGACTTTTTTGGTGGAAGGAATTAAAGCACAGCGGATACGATGTCCCGGGCTTATTTGCTTTACTTTGTTCATCATTTTGCAGTTCTTTATTTTGTGTTAACACAAATGATATCATAGCTGTGAAGATCTACTGCATGCAGATCTACTGATCTAAAGCACATGACCTCTTTGTTTTTAATTGCTTAATTAGAATTACACATTCAGTTCTAAAATCTGATTGGCTGAACTACATTTGAAGCCTCTTCGCACTATGACTGCACACATCAATGAACTATAACTGTGTTAAAGCACAAAGTTATTAAAGTCCATGCTATTCATAGAACAGTCTTTGATTATTGCTTAGCAACCATAGTGTACTGTTCACGAGCTACACTGCTTGGTGGCAGAACTGGTTTTGGACCAAATCAGAACATTTGTCAGCATAAAACTTAGCTGTACTCCTGGGTGAATAACTTGCATCCAGTCAGCATGAAAGCAGCTCAGTTATTGGATAATTTTCAATAAATACAAACATGACAGATAAAAATGGGCAACAACATAAAATCCTGTTGTGTTTGAGGCTATATGAGTATATAATGGATTTTACTGACGTTGTTCCTGTTTTCCAGCTTTATTAATCCCACTGAGGATCCTCTGTGTTTGCTAACACTCACAGCTGAAGCTAACGACAATTTAGCATCTTTTCTCTTCCAGATGAAGATTATATGGCCAAACTCTCTAACATCAGCAATATGAGCCCCAGAATATAAACTAGGATACTTTATTGATGTTTTGTTCACTATATTTTTAGAATTATTCCTTTGCAGAGGGTTTGACGTAAGGCAACAGAAGCTATAAGAAGCTAACGCCATTAGCATTTAGGCTAGCGGCCACAGAACGACTGTTTTGGCTAATATTTCACACTCAGCAAAGACGAAATGAAGCTTTTTTGGATTCTACACCTGATTCTGTGTAAATGTGGACATATTTGTGAGTCTGTGAGCAGAACAGTGCAGTATATCATTAAATATCAGCCAATAAGTTAAGATAACTAGCAAGCTAGGATGCTAAATAGCCAAATTAGACGCTATGGACTGACATAAAATGACCAGAAAGACAGCTAAAATGTTAAAAGTGGTCATTATAAATGGTGGAGCTCAGTTGATTTTGAATGCGCAGTGGGAAAACACCTCTGTAAAGATAAAGCTTCTTTATTAAACCCTGCAGTGAAAAATTTGACTGCTGTCAGATCCTGATTATATAATAAAACTTGACCACACAAAGTGACAAAGTTATTGACCTGGGAAAATATTAAATATCTTAAATATTAAATATATTAAATATATCTTAGGTAAGTCACTTTTAGGATTAAAATAAATCCTAAATCATCCACCCAGCAGTGAGTTATTTGCTGCTGTGGCGTAACACTGATTTGTCCTATTAAAGAGCTACGCTGCTTGGTGGAAGAACTGTTTAGTGTAATTATTATTAATGACGAATTAAAGGATTTTTAAAACTGTATCACAGTGTATTTTGTGGCCGTTCTATGAAAGCTTTGCGCCGCTCTACCACACAGACTAGAGGATTAGTATTTCAAGACTGAAAGTTTTAAGACTAAAGATTTAAAGGGCAATTACAAAAGCAAATGCAGCATGAATGGAATGAATAAAGCAGTTTTACTGTGCCGTGGGACTGAACTGAGCTCAAATATTAACTGGGCTATAAATACTACACTATGTTCACACGACATGTTTCAGTGAAATATGATATCTTTTCTTTCTGGAATTCAATCTTTCTATTTTCCTATCCAGTTCCTATTTCTATCAAAGCTGTGAGTGCTTAAAGGGCCCATATCATGCAAAACTGAATTTCCTTACATTGTTAAAATTTGAATTTGGCTTAGTATGTAAAGTCTGATTTAAACATACTGTTCACTCCCCAGTATATACAGTCCACCAAGCAAAACAGCCCATTTTGAATTCACTGTTTTTGTGA